AGTAACAGAGTGAAAAATAGCAAAAAATCGTTAATTCGAAAGTACTGGCAAAGACAAACGCGCAGATAAATAGGCAGAATGAAGCATTAGTCGTTACAATTGTAAAATATTTTTTCGCTTCTAACCTAGCAGAGGTAAACGTCTTTTAAATGGCCTCTTTTTCCTGGAAAAACTGTACAACGATGATGTTAATATTTCAGTGTTAACCGCCCAGATGGAAATTTTACAAGTGCTGCTGAAGGATGGTGATTATTTTTGGTTTGACGACATCATAGTAAAAATTAAAGAGCTACCCAACCCAGAACGGGAAATGATAAAAGAAGTTATCACGTTATGTAAGCTGATTGTCGTAAATCCAGCAACCAGTGCAGCCGGTGAAAGATCCTTTTCGACTGCCCGGAGGCTAAAAACATGGCTCCGTTCAAGAATGAACCAGGAACGATTTAGTAACTAAATTTTTAAACATACACAAAGAAAGAACGGACAGGCTTTCCACCATTGACATAGCAAACGAATTTACCGACCGCAACACAAACAGAAAGCGTAATTTTGGCACTTTTCGAGTAATTGATGTACAGTAACTTTAATATCATTCACTAAATTATTTTCAGTTACCGTTTTGTTTTGCCGTGTAAATATTTTGAATGAATAATTAAACAATTATTGAACTCGGCTTTCGTATGATACGAAGATATACAGATCTCAGAGGGTGTTATCCACCGGGCTCAAGCCTTCAGCTTTGGCGGATAACCCCCTTGATCTGATACTCAGCCTCGTGCAATAATTGCTCAGTAATTATACAGCCTTGAGTTCAAGGCAGCTCAAACAAAATCGTTGGATTTCTGGCTTATTTATAGTAATTAAAGGTTGATATCAGTAGTATAACATAACAATCTATGATATTTCAATTTAGTGATGGTGAATTTTCAGACCCGATAGCAAGATCACTGAAGATGTGGAAAAAAATCAATAGCTTTATCGTTATTCGCATTCTCCGTCACTTTAGAGAAATTGAATAGAAATCCACAAGCATGCCCCCCCCGGTCCCCCCCAAAATTTTCCTTCACGCATTCTTCTTTAGCCCCCCCACTCGAAAACTTGCTGCGCGGTCCCTGTTAAAGAAGTGCAGAAATCTTACCCGTGCCAATGATCACTAAGCCCGTAGTCTTTTAGAGTCTTGCATTTTCTTCAAAGGCCGGGTTCTTTTCTAAGGAGGACAGTGATCGTTAAACTAGTATCGAATCAATGCTAATCCACCCAGAGGACCATCAAAGACAAAGGATGGACGGAAATAAATAGCTTTAACGCTTCGAGAATGTGCTACGCAAGCACAAGTGCGCAAAAGCCAAACCTTCATGTGGCTTTCAATTTTTACTCATGCATCCGTAACGCAAAACATAAAAGTATTATCATAAAAAGATGCAAACTCACCTTGCTGACATGTAAAAGTTGCTGTTTACGGTAATCCCGAAATGTGAAAACGCCAAGGTTAAATTAAAACCTGGACCACGACTGAAATGAATTTGCAAGGGAGGGGATAATAACCCAGAAGTCCTTGCGCGAAACAAATGGCGGAGCTCTCGCGCGCACGAGGCGCACGCTGCGGAGCACCAAAGAAATAGCTAGAAATTTTGGTTCTGAGAGAATCGTCCGTACGTGCGTCCACCGTTTCATGTAAGCCGGGATGAAATTTTGCATTTCAAGCACCCGCGCGTTCCGGTGGTAAATCGCATAGCTTCCCGGCCTTTTAGTAACAAACTTCCGACTTAATTTCAATGTCTGGATAACAGAGAAAGAGCTAGAGCGTGTTAAAAAAAGACCAAAGGAGACCAATTTCGTAGGAAGAAAAACATACAAATTTCAAAGCGGCGGTGAGAAAAAGGGGAAATGCTAGCTGCCACCAAGGTGAAAATAAGCGGCAGCGAAAAGAAAAGTGAACAGGAACTCATTCAACATTTCCTCCAAAAAACGTGTACCTAGGAAGTTTCTGAGTTTCATGTTGTAGTCGTGCAAAACAACGGTAAAGAAAAAAAGCGTGCCAAGCTTTTTTTCCGTTAATTGGGAAAAAGTTAGCCTGCGTAGCAGGTGTTCAAAAGGGAAGGGGAAGGGAATTAGGGCGCGAGACCGCGCGCGATGGAGGAGGGAGGAGGGAGGAGGGAGGAGGGGATGTCATTTCATTATTTCCCTCGTGCCCCCAACGCGCTCTCGCGCGCCCAAATTCCCCCTTCCCCTTTTAACGCCTGCCACGCAGGCTAGGAAAAAGTGTGTTACACGTGCAAAGTTTTTTTTTGCTAATTAGACCTACTTAATTTTTTGGCTGTTTTCGTTGCCTTCGCTGGTTGGCGTTACACGATTTTATATTTTGTTTAGTAAACTATAGATATTAACTAGAGCTTTGCTTTTACCCCTGGCTAAATCTATATATTAGATTCAACATCGGGTGGGGGTGAGAAGGTGGAGGGTAATAATAACCAAACTGTTCGATCGAATTCAAAGTACTTGGCTAGCTAATGATAGCGGGAAATCGAAAGCTGGCAGAAATTCTGGCGCAAATACTATGTGCATCAATAAGAATAGGACGTCTTCGTTTTGTTTTTCTTGTTTGTTTCATTGCGTTGGAAAGTCCTAACCTCCGAAACAAACGGCTTTTTTTCCCTTTTTAAGCCTGACCCTCATACATTGTTGGATCAGCACGATTCATTATAGAGACGGAAGTGGAAACCAGCGTTACCACAGGACGCATTGACCACAGGACACCCACTTCAAAAGAGTTGAGCTACAAAAGGAGAATTTTAAAGAGAGTCAACTACATCCTAATCAAAGTCGCCTAATAAATCGAAAAGAAAGATGTAGTCTTGGTTTCACTTACATTCTTCGTGGACAACGCAAACTCCCCTGGTAGAGTTACAGTATTATTTTAGATACTGCGGAAAAGGGGCGACACTGAAGTTTGCATTCGCTTAATGAATTCAGTTTGTTTGAGATCAAGGACGGAATTTATTAATAAAGATACTGATTCGCTGATCTCAAGTTCTATTGTAAGTACCAACAACAAAGCAAAAATATTTTCGCAACAGTATATATCTTACAATTTTTATCATCCTACATCTCGCGTGTATGGCGAGCGACCCACCCTCCCATCCCCTAGGCAAGAGGTGTGTACTACCTACGATGCACGCAGGCCTGCAATACACGTGAATATACATCTGCCTACAGTACTGCACAGCGAATATTATCACCCTACCATTCATGTGTATTCTTGGTTTTCACTCACGTGACATGGCGGCCATGTTGGTGGTCAATGCAATTCACCATTTTTACATTGATCATAATGCACTTAGTATACCCCCCCCAAAGTCTACATGACCATTGTTCCCAATTTCTCCTGGGTATTACAGTCGTCCCAAGAGAAATCCAAGACAACGGTTATGAAAAATTTGGGGGGGGGGGGAACAGGGTGCGTGATGGTCCATGTGAAAATGGTAAAGAAAAATTATTTCAGAGAAGTTACATAAAAACGGAGTTTCGTTCCCAGAGGATAGAAACGTTTTTGTTCTTGATCACCAACATGGCTGCCATGACGTCACGTGTAAACCAGAAATTGTAGGTGGTGAGAATATAATTTACATTTTATACATAAGTAGACTCGCCAAAAGGCGACTTAAACTGGGCTGCCATAAAACTGGACAGCAATGTGTAACTTGCCTTAGTTTGTACTCTATTTCTCTCAAGTTGGTATTTGAAGCTCCCGATGAAGCTGTGCGTTCTCGAAGCTTAGCTATTAGCCTATTTGCCCTCTTGCCAATGAGGCTATGGGGTGAACTTGTGTGCGAAATTCTCAAAGTTCCTGTTTTCGTCGGACGAGTCTTCTTTATCCTAATCTAAAATTTAGACCTCCAAAAAAGCGTATGTTGCATTCAACAGAAACAAATCAATCGGCTTTATGAAGCACGCAACGCCCTACGAGATACTGAGTTAATAATTGATAGTGTTGACTGTTCATTTTTGGACGAAAAAAATTACCCATTTTATCAACGGGGCCCGCCTTGAGGCAGCCCGGTTAAAAATACCGCTTAAAAGAGAGGGGGGCTTATTTAATTTAGCGAAACGCATCAACGGGAGCAAGGTTTCTCGTGGACGGACTTGTGGTTCCGGGGGGGTATACTGCTTTTTCTAGCAATAAGATGATAGTAACAATTCTCCACAGAGAACTACAACGTAAAGCTGAAAAAGTTAAGCACATGAAGTTGGAGGTCATGCTGCCGAAAACCAAAAACAATATGAATTTCCAACCTGAACAAACCATAACTGATCAGTTCACGTTAATTGTTTGTGAAAATAAGGATGGAGGAAAGGGAGGATGGGGGAAGGGGGGCTTAATAGAGAGGAGGGGCTTATTAACTTTCCTCCTCTGAAACGTGTTGGGGGGGGGGCTTAATAGAGGATTTACGGTATTCTAAAAGAACTTGATAGAATCTAAGATTGCCAATTAAAGCTCATGAGGAAAAAATGTTCAACTTAGCCACTGGATCTGGGAAGCTTTGTATTAAGCTTTGAACACTTACTGTTATCGTAATCACACTACGATCTGAACATCAGATTAATTTTTGTGGAAAACGAATCATTAGAGACCCTCAGATGCGAGGACGAGATTTCACGTAAAGTTTTTTTGCATATCCTCAAAAAATATACACCCCGGAAAAATTTATTGTACCTCTTTTTTCACCGGAGGAGAAGTTAACATGGTTAAATTGATTAAACTTCTAATATTTCATGACTTGTGTTTCCGTCACTATGATATTCTCGCAGAAACTCGTAGTAGAAATATGACGGCTAACACGTTTTCTCGCCAAAATGACGCTGATTCACGCGTCAGCACTACTTAGTATTGAGACAATCTCGTACTCGAAGTTGGCCTTGTCTTACAATCTATAGGTCGCCATTGACAATACCGTGACCTAGTATCTTAAAGCGGACTCAAACGGGAGCCTCATGGCCAATTAATCAGGACCCACAAGATGCAAACATCTCATGACGTCGTGGTTCACTTCTGCCTTTCCTATTTTTGTCAGTGAGATCATGAGTTTTCTAATAGTGCTATTCCTTCCGTTAAGCTGACACCATGTTCGCAATGTTTCATGGCAGCGTTCTTCGTCATCTTGTTCCTCCTCTGATATGTTGTCAATTTGCCCGGCTCTGAGCTCGAGCTCTCTTGCAAGTCTTTTCCACGATGAACACACTTTTTCTGACACCTTGTTGATCACTTCACTCCTTTCTGCTAAAGCTATGTTAACATTTTGACGTGCTATCGAGAAAAGAATAACATGTGGTTAATTAGGAATTACTGGATTCGGCTATCTTATATTCTGAAGAATTATGCAAATCAAGAAGGGCGCCCCCCCCCCCCCCCAGATACACCTTAGCTAGTCTTAATTTGCCTGCTCCTCGGTAAATTTAGGATAAAAAGAGATTTTTTGTATAGTGACAACAGCGGAATTGTATATTTTCACTTTTTGCTATGTTTCAGACGAACAGTCGGCTTTTTTGCGCAAAACGTGTGAAATATTCAAATATTCCAAGTCTATCCGAAACAGTTATGCAAATACAATCTCAACTTTACTTTATTGAATTCGCCAGGGTGACTCAACACGGTGACAGGGGATGAAACAGGACTTACGTCCGAAGTGATATCAACCACTTCGTTACGCACCCAGCCCTTAACAGGTTGTACCACACCACCGGGCTCTACGCCCCCTATTCTTTACGAACAGCAGAGTGGGTTCTTCTACGTCCCACAAGAATCTACGGTTTTTCGTCCTTATCCGAGAAGACCACAGGCTTCTTGGTTGCCGTACATACATTTTCTGGCGATAGCCTGCATTCTACGGAAGCGTCTGGTACACGTGAGCGGAAGTAATATTTTTCCCGGCAAGCATCAATGCCAGATACCACGATGGCGACAGCTTCGAAACCTTTATAGAAGTTACGTTTTGCAAAACATGTTACCTTTCTGAAGACGTTCAATAACATGTAAAAATCCTACATTGCTCGCCTCTCGAAGTGCACTCACAACGGCTTCAAAACATTCATCTTGGCTGTTAGGATCCAACCCTGCTACAAACTGCAAAAGACTCATTAGTGCTTGTTTGGGTGTCCTATAGCCACTGTTGAGGTGGTTGAAGTGTTCTTCGTATGTATCAGTAGATAAAAACGGTCTGCACGCTGAAAGTACATAGTTCGGATCAGCATCCAATAGCGTTTGGTCATTTAAAGGCACGCCGAAAAATTCTACTGGAGTTTTCTGAAAAGTAAATAAAAAAGAAGAGAGGTCAAGACATAAAAGGCACCGAACACCATCACTCAGTGAGCGACAAATTATTTCACAATTAATCATAACTATAACAAAATGGTCAAATCTGATTGGCTCTCAACTGCCCTGATTTCAGCCTTAATTGGACAGTTTAATAGGACAGTACACGTCATGCCTAAGTAATTGGACAGTACACGCCATCAAGCGCGCGCTTAAATGGCTTTTTTTTTTCACTGCTAGCAAAACAAAATTTCGAATTTCTTGTGTTTTGATTTAAAAAATAGCCTATTATGTTAAAAATTTTGTTAAAGTTATGATTAATTGATAACAGAACTTCGTGTCGTCCAATTCGGTCTGTAATCATACTCGTGATTAAACAAATCGGACTCCCGCTACGCGGTCGTCCGATTTTGTTAATCACTCGTATGATTACAGGCCGAATTGGACTACACTCAGTCCTGTTACCATTATTTAGCCTGCGAACAAGCTCCTTCGTGAGAAATTAGTGGAGAGCGGCACGCGGAAATAGAGAGGTTGCTCACAGGCTAACCATTTTAAGATAGACGCACCGCTTCATATTCTTTTCCTTTATGCAATCTTATGGATGGCAAATTCAATGACGTTTTTACTACAGTGTAATGGGACAGTTTTGGTGGTAAGTTGAGTGGAGATGGAGAGGTTGAATCGTTCGTGTGTGCAACATCTAAAACGTTGGAATATACCGATCAATTATGATACTGCCCTAAAAAAATTAAACCTTTGAATTGAATGCTTATCTTAAACCCAGTTCAGTGAGCATAATTCCTCCAAGGACCCTGTGTCTCGCATGAAGAGATAATTGAGATGTGTCGCATAAAGCTGTAAATGGCCTGATAAATAAGGAAAACACGGGGTACGCTGCGTTTTTGTGTGTAGTACTCACCGTGAGATCAAGTTTCATTGAAGACAATCTAAAGTTCAATCTGGACAATAGGTTATTCGCGTTGGGATCCGGGCTGCTGCGAAACTCCACATGGGATAAAACTTGGTCACTTATCAAACGAACTGGCAGTTGCTTTTTGTCACGGTTATCGCTCTCAAACCTGAAAGGATATGTACATGAAATAAAATAAGTTTATCCCACTGATGCACAATTGAGCCTTAATTTCAAGAGGCGTTGGTGTTTTTTCTTTCAAGATGTGTAGAAATTCTCGGGTGCTTATGGGTCAAAAGCGTAACAGCAATTGAAACTAAAAATATTTGAATGCTGTCTCTCCTTTCGTTAGTTAAATGTGCATGACTTCAGACGCCGCGCTTAACTACTAGTTTTAGTGTTATTTTGAAAACAAGTACATATAGTTTGCCATTATGGACACAAAGTACAAAATAACTTGCAACGAAACCTTTTCGTCCATTTGTGACACAATCTAAAGTCAATAATGGTGCATTATGTTTGCACTTCAAACCCCGTGCCTTCATTCAAAATATTAAGTCACTAAGCGATAACAATACTGAAATAAAGACGCCGTTCAGCTGGACAAGTTTTCGTGCGAGACACTCGGAAAAGCACACCCTGCTACGAGGACTCGCTGCAAAAAATCCGTAGCGAGACATGTTCATTTCGGGAGAAATTAGACTAATTAGGGGGGTTGTGGAAAGGCGTTTTTGAGCGACCCACGTCAACCGGAAGTGGACGTTTTGCAGTCTTGGGTAGTGGTTTTGCCCAGGTTTTCGGGAAAATCGTCTCTAAAGGAGTAAAGACACTTGGCAATACAAAGTTTTGTACCGTCAAGGCATATTCCAAAGGAAAACGGCCTGACTTCTGGTTGACCTACGTCGCTCAAAAACCTGCCTTGTGTAGCAGCGGCCGTACATACATGAGATGGAAATCTTCCATGTCTTCTATTTCAGCTGGGGTTATTCCTCCTGATACAAACACGAATGCTTTGTCATGCCCCGGTATCAGCTTTTTCCGTGAATTTTCCTCACTTGGAACCACGTTTGCGTTTTCTAGCTCTTGGACTACTCTTTCTCTCATGTGCGCTGGGCAGCATATAAGATGGAGAACATCTTGAGAATAAGCACGATCTAATTCATTGAAATAGGAGAAGAAAACGCCAAGTAATGGCTGCTTCCAAATAAGGCTTGTCAAGTACGTTATTACTCCAGAACCGCTGAAGTCCTCTTTGTACCATTCAAAAACGCAAGTGTATCTAAAAGAGACATAGAGCGGAATTTGAATTACTTTTGCAGACAGAATGATTTTGTCTTTGAATTGCACAGCTAAAAGACGCGAGTTGATATCTCCATTACTTAAATACCACTTTAAAACTATGGGGATACACTAAGGCGGTTAATCAGTTGACTCAAACTTAATTTAACGAGAGAAAAACATTACTAAGTAGTACACACAAAACTACAAACTAAAAGCACACATTAGCTATACAGTATAAAAGCTATGCAAAAAATAAGTATCATCAGAATTTAAAAAGGTTAAAAAGAGTAACAATAAGGTCATAGTAGCTCATAGTAGCTTAGTATTCCAACAGTTTCAATGTATGCTAACTTGCGTTAGCATAACCAAAAGTTCAGTTTACCTCCAATTCATTAACAACAAAACTACTACAACATTTGGATGTCTTCTTACCCAGAGAAGCGTTCTACCTGGAACCTAACAAATGTCCCGTCAAAATGTACAGGACATTTAAGACCATCTGTAATTTCCATCCATTTTTTTTCTTCGTCATCAGAATTTAAGAACAATACTCTGACACGGCATGTCGAGGGGACTGGAATCCTTTCCTGGTCGCTGCGAAGAGACACTGGCAACTGAATTGTGACGGGCTTCGAGAATTCGACGATTTGGGAACAGCTGACACGCAGTATTGGTCCAAGAAACACGTCTTGGTCTTTAAATTCTTCACCTGGAACTTCTTGCACCTAAAGGGATAATAGAAAACACAACTAAATTAACCTGAACTTACTGTCAGATTTGCTGCCATTTTTTCGAGTTTTAGAGGAAAAAAGAGACCATTTTCGCAAGGAACACCATATCCGGTGGAGACTATAGCAAAACCTTATCTATCTGACAACGCAATAGTCTCCACATGACAAAAACACTTTTTACGAGCCTAATTTCACTCATCTAACGTCTGCTGTATTGTTACATTTCTGTCGAGTTTGGAGACCTGGTAAGAGTTATCCTTAGAAACATTAACTGGTCATGTAACCACAGCAAGAAAAGATCTCGAGATAATGCATACCGTCCTACCTTCAATACCAGAGGAATCTTTGCTTCAGGTGTCACAGCATTCTCAGGGATTGTAACTGTCACGCGTGGATAGTCAGGATGGCTAAAGGAGCCACCACTAGATGTGATGGCGTACGCTGGAGAAGGCTTGAGACGACAAACAACTGCGTATGTTGAGCACTCAGTTATGTCAGCTTGAGCAACGGGAAAGAAAAATTCCGCTACATCCCGCGGGTGAGGCGGGAAGTCCTCTTCGACCGCTGTAAACAATTGAGAGTGGAAAGACTATAAGCCATTGTGATTTCTGTAAATATACAAACTGCGTGCAGTAAACGTAAAACATTGAACAGACAGCATTTCACAGGTGAAGATATACTTTAAACAGTGGGTAAATACTATGGGTAGGCTGCTCTTCAAAAAGCATCAGTTTCCAAACCTTTAAGACACTGTAAGGCCTTAGTTCCATCCACTTCTTCCCATTCATTGCTTTCCCAATCGATCAGCTTCTTTATCACTAGTTCGTAGCCCCGCAAATCAGGCGCACTGTGAGAAAGAACCAGCTTCACTTTGGCGTCGAATTTCAGTTCATCGCCACTGGTGGTTGATATCTCAATAACATTACTGACAACTGACTCGTGCTCTTGCAGTGGGGGAGAACGTGCACTGAATTTCCACCTGTGGGCCACTATTGATGTGGGCTGAGACACAGCGTTAGGGGGAAAGAAAACGTGGGCGCTCCCTCGTTTAAGGGCCCAATGGGTATCTTCACTGGTGATTGTTCCTCTGAAATAAATTATTAAAACATTAATTAATCGAAACCCGTTTAAAATAATCGTATACCAGGCAAGCCACGCACGGTATTGAGGTTGTGCGATATCCAGTTTCCAGGACAGGATTGTGCCCGCAAAATTATCTTATTCCCGTATAAGACTCCAAAAGTGTTCACTTGATCTAGGTTCGTTTTCACTGAGGCTTGTGTCAGCTAAATTCAAGGTGTCAATGATATCCATGATATGCACGGTATACAAGATATTTTATCGATACTGTTTGGCATTTTAATTAGCAATTTTTTAGTGAGGCCGAGTAAGATGTGAAGACGTGTAAGATAAGATGTAAGATCCCTGATGTGGATAACAGCCTCTGATATCTGCACAATTCTTCACATGATACGAACTGAGCCGAATTCATTCTCATAATACAGTTAAGAAGAATTAACCTGAGACTTTGGGCGAAACGGCGAAATATTTTGAATGAATAATAACTTTTTATATTATTATTATTATTATTTACATTACTATTTGCCCGTCGCTCTCCCCCTCCCAGAAAAAAACGCCTGCTCGTAGATTAATCACCCCCCCGCCCCCGCTCGCCTTTTTTGCCAATGCATTCCTACGGTTGAATACAACACATTAGTATACATACTCGTGTATTTTTATTTTATCTGAGTCTGATTCATCCAAGTCTTCCACCTGTCCCTCTAGGCTAAGTTCTTGAATTTGCTGTAGCAATTCTTGTTCTTCGGTAATCTCATCTCCACCATCAATTCCCATATTGTTACCATCTCCACCGCCATTATCATCACCAACATTACCAACATCATCGCCACCAACCTCAACGTCATCACTGTTATGACTATCGTCGTTATCATGGAACTCATCACCTTTATCGTCTTTGTTCTCATCATCTTCTTTCTTACTTTGAAAGTGGTCATCATCGTCGTCAGAAGATCGCTCTGTTGAAACGAGATGTGACATTACTGTTGTCAAACTTATGAATTTTTTCTTTGAAATTTCGAAGTATACGTCTTTTATTTCAAGCGTGTGTGTGTAGCAATGTTGATCGCTGGAATCATATGTCAAAATCAGGGTTCTCCAGGAATTTAAAGTAGGAGAAGAAAAAAATTTAATTAGGCGGCAATAGTTTAGATCGAAAGGCTCGGTGACGCCGCTGCGTGTGGGGTCAGGTAAGGGATGGGGCTCGCCCTGCTTCCATTGGGATCAAGACTAATGATCTGACATCTTATCGAATTTTTTTTAAGATGTGAATAAACTTAGCGATGCTTATGCTCAAATTAGGTGAAAAACAAATGCATTGCTTACCTTTTGACCCTCGGTTGTCTTTGTCTCGCGGCATTCTTACTTTTATAAATGCGCACATACGTTTGGACTGGCAAAGACCAATGGCGATCAAACCCTTTTTCGGAAAAGAAGCCAAACAAAAAGGTCGGGTATCCATGTCAAGTACACTAAGCAAATCCCCACTGCGGACGCTAAACAAACGAAGACAAAATCTTTCTGAAATTCCGATTTGGCGATTTAGCATGCAATCCATTACGCATTCCGTGTCACTTACGAACGCATAGCTTATAACGCTATCGACTGTGCATAGTGTACGGAGAGTGGCTCCTGAAGATGCATCAAGCACGTGTACATCTTGTCTACACTGAGAGGGTTTTGCCGATATTAGAACAAACTCTTCCGTTGGAGAAAATATTCCAGGTATATTCCACGAGTACAACAGCTCGGAATCTTTAAAATCTCTTTTCCATAGTATACTTGTGCCATCTGACAGTTGGACCAAGTGCCTATCGGTGGATAACAGCTGATATTTACTGTTACATACTATGGCTTCTTTATGCAAAAATGAATATGTTGACTGGTATCCCTCGTGACAAAGTGGTATGGTCTTCACTATGTCTCCCCTCGATGTATCTAGGATGCTCACTTCAAATTCCTTTCCTACGCAAGCTACACAGTGGTCTGAAACAGGCATTATATACGTATCGACTAAACTGGCCCAACTTCGGAGTTGCCGAGACAACTCGAAATTCCATAGCTGAACAGCAGCCCCGCGTTGTTTCAAAAGGACTCCATTAGTCACAGGTACAAGACAAAAGCCGTAGTTAGGTAGATTGTTGCCTGGGGAGGCAAAAGATGCAAAGATAGGGGCATTTTGATCGCGACGAGTACCAATCTGTTTCTCTGCTTGAAGCTCTCCACTTGACACATCAAAAGATACCACAGCTTCATTTCTTTCAGTAACACCGTAAACGGTCTTCCCATCTACAGCAAAGGCCACACCACGAAGTGTTCTATAGCTTACCTTTCCTTTATCAGGCCTGAACATTACAATAAGGTCGCTTCCACAAGATACCCTCATTACACTTTCTTCGTTTAAGACAAACGCAAACCCCTCCTTCACAGTAAACCAAAGAGGTCCAAAACAGCTCTCGTGGCTCTCAAACACACATGAGATAGGATCTCCCATCAAGAATCCACTGTTGCTACACGATTCATAAACCCAAGGTTCAAAGTCAGCATTGTTGTCCAAAACATCTACAGAAAAAAAGCCACGAGGCGACTTGCTGACGTTTAAGCGAATACCTTTCAGGTATCTGTCCTCGACCATACGTTGTTTTGGTTCACGCCAACAAAACAGGAACTGAAGGTTGGGGGCAAACTTGATCATTCCAAAAGGTTTTTTAAGAGTGACTTCTGCAAGTGTCGCAAAGCAATTTAGAGTATCAACCAAACAAATCAATCCCGAAATATGGGAAATCGCTAGTACCTTTCCATCTGGAGACCAAGCAAATGAAAGAACAACTTCATTCCTGGTGGCTCGACGGATCTCTTCGCCACTTTTTAAATTCCACATGACAAGGCATTTAGCATCGTAAGGGGAATCAGTAATCATTTTGCTCTTGTCCCCATTAACTGAACAAACCAAAAACCTGCATTTGCTATGAGGGAACAAGGGTAAAAGGTCTCCGTTAAACGAGTAAGCATGGCTAAGGGTTCCAGGAAGAACTCGGGCCTCAACAGGATGAAAAACAACAGAGCGATAACATGACAAAACAGGCGAGTTCGAGGCCATTCTAAACGCATGATGATCATCAACGTTACTATAACGTTTGCTAACCGTGGCCGGACGTTTCCACCTTAGCTCCCCTGTTTTGAGTGACCACAACTGAATCGTTCCATCCCTACATTCAGATACCATGAAATCCCACTGAGGTGAAATATCAAAACACGCCACTTGAGAGGTGCAGCGAAACACAGCTTGGATCTCCTCCAACTGATCCTTCTCGACCTCCTTATGAACGTACTCCATGTACGGTACTTCATGATATTTGGTGTTCAAAAGCTCATTCGCTTTGCTGGCAAACATGTCTCCCCCACTGTTAACCATCACTTGAAAAAATATACTAGGACGTGTCGAAAGTCTTTCGTGGTGCTTTCTTAAAAGAGACCACATCGTGCTGAGGGCGCTCTGACTCTCACTGCTCAATAACTGAAAAGCTTCTTGTTGCTGAGTAAGGATTATGTCTTCAGAACTAGCCGTGTTGTTTACACAAAGCTTTGCATACACCATGTCCAAGTCGGTAACATAATTGTTAACGATTTCTTCAAAGCTTCTTGTACTCTCATCCACCTCTTCCGACTCGAGCATATGATGAACACCGTGCTGTAGGGCGTACTTCGCGGTGTCACTGAACTCTCCACCGTGAACACCTCTTCTTTTAACATCGTTTAATTCACCAGCACAAAGCTCAGACAGGGCAAGGTGACCTTGCTTTTCATCCACAGAGAAGTCGTGTCGCCCATAAGCAGTTCTGTCAGTCAACCAGTCCTTCACTGATTTGTGAAAGAAGTGAATGCAGCCATCTTGAACAGGTAAAAGAGTTGAGATACATTCGATAGCCTTTCTTACTTTCCGGTGACCAGCTGGAGACTTTGTATCCGACAGTAGCAACTTAGAAACAAAGTCTAGTGGAAGCGGTTCCCTTGCAGCTGCCACAGCACTTAGAAAACTCAACAACTGGTCAGCACTTATGGTCAATTCCTCAATGTTTTTCAATTCTTTCTCCATACGATCAAAATAGGACTTATAAACATCTGAGACACCTGAAGGCAAAATTTTTCTTAACTCCTCCGGATCCAGACTTGAGCCGTTTTCCTCGATAAAACGAACCATCAAAAATGCAAATAAAATATGTCCATCGGCCTTTCTGGTCAGTTCATTGATAACTTCCTCACAGCTAGATTGAAGCTGTCTTTCAAGAAAGAGTCTGATGTCTTCAACATTTTCTTCATCATCTTGCTCTAGCTGAAAAGGATTAAACTTTTGAAGACGGTCTGCTATATTTATTTCCGGTCGAGTTGTAACAAAAAACCGGAGCCAAACAGGAAGCGTAGAAAAGTGATTAGCAATGACATCAAGCAGTTCATTACGCCTTTGGTATTCACATTCATCCAGGCCATCTATCACAAGAAGGAAGTTTCTACCGGGGTCACCTACACTGCTTAGGGGCTCCTCGAACAGCAACTCAAACAGCTCCCCAACTTCTAGGCTGTTGATGTCTGCACCTAGGTTCCCAGAAAGTTTCTCCGCAAGTACATTTTTGTATTTGGGTATAACATCGCACAACTTACGAGCTAACGACTGAAGCATCACCTGAGGTTTTCTGCCACGTGCTTTGTTGTGCTGGCAAAAGTGGCATCCTGCGAGCCGGCCATCTTGGTCCATTGTTTTACAAACTACCGCCGCGATCACTGATTTTCCCATTCCTGCATTTCCACTAAGTACCAACACACGATTTTCTGAACTTCTGTCTTCTAGCCACAATTTGACTTTTTCTAAGATAGACTTGCGCGTCCCCTGTTCATGTTTTTTGGCATAATTCTGAATGACCGTATCGGTGTCAACGACAGCCAGTTTCTTATTCAGAACTTCACTTTCTTTGTCTTCACTTCTCCTCTGTTCCAGCGATTCTACTTTGTCCTTGATCTGCAAAACATCACCTCGAATCTCTCTATGGTCTTTCTCGTGCTTCTGTTGCGTTTCCTGATGGGTCTTCAAAACTTCCACAAGTAACTGTTGAGTATCTTCTACTGCCTTTTGTGTGCTTTTAAGAGTTCTCTGATGTTCCTTTTGCATCTCATTTTGTTCCTGCTGAGTTTGACGCACTTCTTCCACAATTGTTTGGATTTTGGTCTGGGATTGTTGGATATCCTTCAGCTGTGTCTTGATGTCTTCTTCACTGTCAGCCCACCTTATTAAGGTATCAATGCAATCTTGCTCTCCACCTTGCTCTGCCCTCAGTCTGTCAATTTCGGACTGATCTAAACCAAGAGAATGAAGAGTAATGCTTATTTCTTGCCAGAAGGAAGAGAAAAATGTCGCATCAACACCAGTGGAAGTCACGTGACCATACAATGCGTTCCGGAAGAACTTAACACGAGCAAGGTTAGCCTCAAGGGAGTTATCACCAGAGGATGGCTTAGCATGCCATCCTGACGGGGGAGGGGTTAAACCACAAATGTTGGTTAGTAGAAGGAACAGAAGAGTGATGTCAAACGTGTTGGAGTCTGGTACCCCTCCACCAGGGGGAAACAAGTTGTCCCACTGATGCCCATTTAGTACTCTTTTACGCAAAAGGTTGTTAAGAATGGAGTAGTTGGAGTTGAGGTCAGAAGCCAAGTTGGCAGGTGGGTGATAGTGATCAAAAGTCTTCCTCAGCACTGTTGTTCCGCCATCGATGAGAAGTCTGCTCAGCTTGCTTCCATTTGTCTTCTCTACAGAGGCTGCCAGGGGTGAAGGTGCTGCAGTTGCCATGCTAGTAAAAAGATAGACAGCATCAGCAACAGTACAATAATTTTATTCTGTTAGTTGCGAAAAAAAAAAATGGCACAGTGTGACAGTTCTTATCCGAACAAGTGGCATATAGAGTGAAGCATGACCTCAAGTCATCACTGCAGGGTTGTGATCCCTATTTCATGCTGATGAGCCCAAACGAAGGCGAGCCAATTGTGAATGGCTTCCACTGCCTGGGTGATATGGCTGTGTGTATGCGTATTGGTAAGATACTAGCTAGGCCATAGGTTGAGGCCTGAGTATGTGTGTCACTTGCTCTTAAGGTTGTTCTCCTTTAGGTCAGGTCTGAGACATTGTAGAGAAAACCACATCTCGTGGTCTAAAAAGATTAATTAAGGTTCTGTTTTACAAGACATGACCCACAATCCCACCCAGATTTTTCTAGAGAGAGTCCCTCTCCCCCACTTCCAAGGCAAAATGAAACAAAGTTAACATAACAAAAGAGAATAGCATACTCTGATTGGCTAATTACACATTACTTTTTGGCCAAATTGGCTGATCGCTAACAAGCTGGTACATGCTCAATTTCCATGAGACTACATTTTTACATTTTGTTTTTGCCTCATAGTTTCCAAATAATTTTATTATCCTGCCGAGAGAAAAGTTACAGAAGGCAAGCAAGGGCCTAGCATGAGGTTTTGAAGCTGTGATCCACAGAAAGAAAGGTTAGACTCCGAACGTACTGCAAACTACAGGGATCTAGGGACATGCTCCCCCCAGAAAATCTGTCAAATTTAGGGGCTCAGAAATGCCATGTCCTGCGTTTTCCGCAGGCCTTTTTTACATGTAGTAAATAAATATGAAGGAAAATGCAATAGTTAGTTGTTTTTTAAACAGTAAAAAAATGACACCATCAAGAAGGAAGTTAAAGGCCATGGGCGAGATGCCTACCCTTCAAAAATTATACACTAATAATTATAATGTGAAAGATTTATCAATAATCCTAGTTGAATGGTAAAAATGCTTTCAGGGAATATAAAAATATATTTTTCTCCAGATTTCAGCTGTATGCACAGGCGCATGTGCATTAGACGCTATACCCCCAGTGCTCCTAAGAAGCTTTTCAAGGTAACATAAAAAACAGTTTTGAACTCCATGTTGAGATGCAAATATACTTATCCAGCAAAAAGATTTTTTTGAAGGAGAAGAGTTTGCAAACTATGATCTGTACAGTCACATCATTCCCCTAAAAACTGTTGGCAAAAGTTTTTCTCTTGGTTATGTTATAAAACAGATGGTAAATGGCTCAGCATCCACTACTGAGTTGTGGTTACACTTGGGGGGACTATTGCTTAGCACTCAAGAAGCTATAGAGTTGCAATCAGCTATCACTTTGGGTGACTCTCATATTTCATTAATTGTGCTTTGCAGCCATGACTCAAAAGTATGCTGAGCCATTAACCATTTGTTTGACAGAGAATCACAAGTGTAATGTCCACTCCATTCCGGATTTTCAACTCACGCATGATCATGCTATCACTTGTAGTTTCCTGTTTGACTAACATTAAAGCAGCTTTGACACAGCATCTGGTAGCATTTTATTGTTTGCAATTTGGAGACACATAATACTATTGAGGTGACTCGAAGTGGGCCAAGTGGACAATATCATGGCCACCTCTTTTTCTGTGTAATTTTGCATTATTTTGAAAGAATTTGTTGGCAAAATTTAAATAGTTTGATCTACCCAGCTGGCAAGAGTCCTAGCCACCCCTATCTGAAATTTCTGGATCTGCCTCTGATAAAGCCTCTACCCACAACCATCCGTAAATTTGCCAGGCTTAAGTACTTTTATGCTCATATTATATATTAATTAAAATCATAAAATTTGGTATGAACAATCATCTAAACTTTACTGATTCCTCACCATGAATAGCTGAATTATGGAAGCTATAATTTTGCAACACTTTATCTATTTTGTCACTTAACAAGTGCTGTTTTTTAAGCTCTTCTAACTTCAGGAATCTTAAAGACCCAAGGCCCGGTTCCTGGAATGCCGATTAGCGCTAATCTAGGATTCAGGTTTTGTTCCCTTTTAATTTTTTACCTTCCTATGTATTGCTTAGAGTTACATTTTGTGATATCATTACTGTATCTCAGATTAAAGGCTCAATGGTATTCCGTAAGCTTGAGTTGCATGTTTTTTGGTAGACGTTAAAACCTTGCTTAAAATTTGGCTTAATCCTGGGTTAAACTTAACCATCTTTCGAGGAACCAGGCCTAGGGTAAGGGTGTTGTTTGGTTATATATACTATAACATTAAATAAGACAGCTTGATTTTTTTTTACCTGCAGGGTGTATTCTAGTCAGAGTGTTTGCACTATTTTCCAAAAGGGCACTGGTAGGTCAAACTAGTATGAAGAAATAAAACAAGAAATAGTCAATGTATTTTAATGATAAATAAGTGAAACATGAAATCAATTAATTAATTTTTCACACCCAAACAGCATTAAAGACTAAGAAGTAAAGAGTCTCCATAAAAGAAAATAGCAAAACACAAATGCTGCAATTTTTATTAAGGAAAGTCTCATGAAGCTGAACTGGAATTTCCAGAGTGATATGAAGGGCAGGAGAGGAGGTTCAAACCAAACGACTTAGCTTGCAACTAAACTGAATGAATGCAGGGCTGTCAAAACAGCAACAAGAAGATTTATTCCAACTATGAATGTAGTTTCCATCAAGAAAAACTCTAAAACTGCACGTAACTCGATAAACCATACACAGCCTCTGCCACCTTAGTCATGGTCTTGACTAAACACATTGCCAACATCAAACTCTCTTTGCTTGTGAAAACTAACGCTAAGACTTATTGCCATTGTTTTGGTTTTCAAAGCTGGCACTTTTCGCTACTAGTGGGCTATAACATATAGCCTAGTACTTGCTCAGCCAATCAGAACGCAGCATTGATAATAGACCACTAGTTGGATTTTACTAAATCACTTAATCTCCTGGATAGCACAATTGGTTTCCCTAACACTTATCTGTTGCACAGCGAATTATCTGGCATGGTGGATAGTGCTATCTAGCTTTGGAACAACTAGGGCCTGGTAATTGAAGTCACAGTTCCAACCAATCTTCTTGCCATCGTCACCATTTCTTCTGTCTTGTGTTAAAGTTTCAAGGCATTGGCGCTTTTCAGAATTTTACCCCATACCGCCTACATAATGTGCTTATGTTTATTGCTGCATGTTATACAACAAATAGCCTACAATAGCCTAGAGCAGGGTTGCAATGTGCGGTTGAATGCTCAGCGTTCCAAGGCAATCTCACAATTTCTGGACGGCTGTGCCCCCCCACCCCCCTCCCCCCTCCCGAGGACCACGTGGTTATACACAGTCAATAGTCAGCATTTAATTTTCAGTCAGTTTGATCTCGCGATATAGAAAAATTTTGCAATTATCGAGTCAAAGTCGAGTAGAGTTATAAATTTCAACCATCTGTGAAGTGAGCTCGTGATTACACGCTGGGCATATTCGATTTCGGTTGATCGAAAGCTAAAATGGGCACTCCTAAAAAACACGATCAATCTCATGATCCATGTTCAAAAGAAAATCCCAGGGGACAAAGGATCAAGGAAAGAAACAAGACCGACAAAGAGAAAAAGAAAGAAATCAAAATCATAGAAAATAAAGCCTTCTTACCTTTATTCCATTGTCCTTTTGTAAAACTGTTTTCCCTTGTGATTATCACTTCGAATCACAGGATCATGCTAAGAATATTTTCAACCTGAGATCAATGCAAACAATGTCACTCTTTCCGCTCTGGCTAGCACTCTTTTATAGAATGAACAACATGTTCTTCGTAAAGCCGCTGTTAACTTACCTTTTCGTCGAAATCCACCGTCGATAAACTGCGAAAAAATCTTTTTTGTTCAGTTATATTGTAACGCGTTTGTTAACAATAATCCCAGAACTCCACGCGCGCGGGGGGAGAAAACCTCATATATTTAGCACCCCTCCCCTCGCTCCCCCCGGCCCTAGGGGACCTTTTTTGTTAAGGCTGGTGGACCAGTTGCGGGCTGAAAAGATTGGGGGATGGGCTTATTTAATTTTTAGCGTAACAGGGTGCTTACCCTGCGAAGCGCAGACGTATTTCCGGTCGTCGCTTCTCTCCGATACGTCTGCGCTTCTCAGGCTACAGGGTGCTATATATTGGCTAACGTTTCAATTAACCGGGAAATGGCATCGATCAATTTTCCATAAAGAACCAGAACGCAAAGTGGAAAAACTCAAATACCTTATTGGGACTTAATATTTCGCGTTTTTAGCGATTGTAAAAAAAAGGCGAAATTAAATACCCATAGAGAAAATTCAAATAACAACAAACATGTGATAGCGACGTTATGTATAGACAAACACAAATTGCAAAATGGTTTTGCTGGTAAGCTCCATTTTGTGTCTCCCTTTGTGAAGTAACGTTAGCAGTGCAAAGATTCACATATTGCTTGTTCCAGTTTGTCTCTTTTTTTTATTAAAAGTTCAGACTTTTTAAAAAAGAAATAGCCTGCGTGGCAGGCGCAAAAAGGGGAGGGGGAGGGGGAAGGAGAAAAGTACGAAAAATCCCACTCCCTTTTTCCCTTCCTCCCTATCCCCTTCCCCTTTCGACGCCTGCTTCGCAGGCTAAAAAAGAAAATGAAGTTGAGATCGCCTAAATCGTGAAATTTAATGCCCTTTTTTTCATATTTACCTGTTAAAATCGCGAAAATAAAACCCCGCGAAACACTCTCTCGTTAAACTCGCGAATTTATAATTAAGTACCACTAAGGTATATGAAAGGCTAGGGATCGACGAATAATCGATACCGAATCAGACCCCATGAACAGCCAAAAGTGTACAGTCCATCATTTATGAATTTGGCTGTGAATATTAAGGGAGAAAGAGAGAGAGAGGGCGTAAAAGAGACGGGGGGGCTTCAAAACTTTTTAATTATCCCCCTAAAATGGGGGGAGCATATTCTCGGAGAAGGGGGCTTATTAAGAGGGAACTTACAAGGAGATTTACGGTCAATAGAATGGGATGAATCTCGTCCCCGGGATTTATTTGTGACTAATACCCCGTAAACAAAAAAGGGACGGGCTCAAGTAATGAAAATGGATACGGGGGTGGGGGGGTAACTCTTCCATCGAAGTACTGCGTTGCAAAAATTCTCGCTCAAATGCTGTTTACTTATCCTTTATGTGCTGTGTATGTAGGAGAGGTTCTTTTGTTTGTATATTTTTTTTCTTGCTTGTTTGTGGCCTGCGAAAACATCCGTTTCTCTTCGCTCTTCGCCGCTGGGGACGTTTCGCGCGGAGGAAACGTCCCCAGCGGCGAAGAGCGAAGAGAAACGGATGTTTTCGCAGGCCAGCGTTGTTTGCATCTTGCTATCTTTGGAGGGTAAGAGTTGGTGACTCTATTTTGTAGCCCTAGCCCTCGACTAAACATCTGTGCCGGGCTTTGTTGAATAAGTTATTGAAAGTATAAATAAACGGAATTTTGTACTAGTGCCCAGTCCCCTTTTTCAAACGGTTTTCGCGGAATTTCGTCCATTTCTAAAAGATTAACTTAAAAGGCCTGGGGCCCGTTTCTCGAAAGTCCCGATAATTAACGGGCCCGGTAAGCTGTCTCCGTTTACATTAAAGATCGAGGTTTCAATAGTTTTGCATCTAACATGATAAAACTGTAAGTTAATGAAACTAAATGGAGTAGTTTACTAGCCAGGACCCGCGCTCTTATTCTTTATATTTCGATTTGAATTTTTGATTTCGGGCCCGTAAAGTTACCGGGACTTTCGAGAAACGGGCCCCTGGCCACAGAAATGATATACCTGTTAGTCTCATCACTATGACGATCACTGCAACTTCCAGAAAGTAATGAAAAGTGGTGCCATTTTGCCAAATAGAATTTTGAGCTAAAAATAGCCTTGATAGGTCACATGACAATTAATGACTGCAACCATAATTCAAAGTTATTGAAGTTACACCCAGGTAGTCTGTCCATAAGTTATTTTGCGTTATATTGAACGTTTACAAGGTTAAACCACACCCTCCGTTTTTGAGGAATTAAATAGAGGACCCATACCTTAATTTTCTTGAGTATAAGGGATAATTGACAAAATAATTTCAGGGATAAAGGTTTACGGTTGTACATCAATTATAACCGATTCACACTTTTAAACTTAAGCATTTTTTTTATCCGGACCACCTAAGCCGGCTTAGGGCAGTGGCAGGGTAAGTTAGCAGAAAAACTCCGAATATCATAAACGAAAGGTTATCCAGAAATTTTTTAGACTTTGTCACCTGCCGCTCTACAGCTTAAATTTCTCGCCCAATATTTGCTCCTTCGAATAGTAATTTTACAGAAAAAAGGTCGTTTGGTGCCCCCGTAAATTTGGCTTAATCGGGACAGCGTATGGGTTCCCTGAGATATATCCAAAATTACTCCCTTAAGTTAAATGATCATTATATTGGCATTGGTGGATGGTAATGTTGGGTGCGATGCCAGTTGAGATACTGACAGCTAAATTAAATTCATTATCCAAAAATACAAACAAATGATTGTCTACAACAAGTAATATCTTCCAACACCTTTATTTCTTTGTCAGGTTTGGCTCACTGAGTATTGATCGCCCACTATAATTCTACATGTGAGACGTAAGACTAGCCTACAATTTCAGTAGCTTCACAGCAGCTGTGGGTTAAACTCCGTCTTCTCCGTCTGGCAAACGATATGCTCGGATGAACAACAGCCATCGTTATTCCACTTTCCTTTGCCACCTCCGCTGACGAACAAGATCGCACGGTTCTCTGATCCAGCATTGTTAGGCTCACCGGAATTCCATGCAGAGAAGGTATCCGCTACTAGCGTCCCGTCGAGCCACTCAAAGACGTTGTCACCCTTGGGTGCTATCATTCCAAGCCGTGTTTTACCACGCTTTTCCATCAGACTTGTAAGGAAAGCGTTCTGCTCGGCGTTCTGATTGGCAGGGTTGCATTGAGTTGCTTGCATCGGTAATATCCCTCAAATGTATTCGTTTTTGGGGGGAGTATAAAGTAGCACTGATTTCCGTTTTCAAACCAGCCCTCTGGACAAGCTAAACCGAGATACAAAACATAATTTTCCTTGTAAGTCTTTCTAATAAAACAAAGTTCTGAAAACGACAAACCTTGTCATAAACATTCCACATGATCTCAGTTTTTGCAGGCTTGACGCTTTTCTCGGTGGGAAACTGCTCAGTGTGCTCAGTGATAGAATAGTGTTGGCGAATTGTGTTGGAAAATAAGGATGTCAGTTAGCTTAAATAGTTCTGTCATTCCGATACCTTTGCAAATGTCTTCTGAAAGCTTAACTCAGCTCTCTCCCGCGGCCAGCAGTCTAGAGTCTAGCTAAAAAACATTACTTACGTACGTTTTACCTAGCCCCTGTTGGCGTCTTTCCCGGCCTTCTCGGTCAATGCATTTCGCTCACGTCTCAAAAACTCGCTCGGCCCACTTGACCCGAAACGGCATCGGCCGCGCGCAATAATGGGATCAATTTTCTTAAGTCTAGGGTCTAGGAAAACTTACGCCCATGAACATATAACTATATTGTTAAGACACTATGTCATGGTATTTTCTATCCTTTTAAAAGCTAAAACGAGTCTTCGCACAAATCGCATCAGAGAGCACTCATCGTAATAATTTTTCTTGGTGAAATTTGCAGGCCGAGCCGCGTAAAAACGTTGCCCCAACTTTTTCACTTTCATCCATGTCCGGCTGTCCTAGCCATCCTTAGTGACAGGAGACAGGGAACTATTTCAATGCCTAAATAGTCTTGAATAACAATGTCAGACCATTAGTTTTGGAACAGTTTCAGTGAATGCGAAGGCACGTTTTAGCTCTTTAAAAATATAGCAAATACCTTAACATAGCCTCTTTCATGTTACTCTGTGTGTTGAATGATTTTTTTCAAAGGCTTGGCAGTGCAAACCAGTAACTGAACAAAAAAAGTCTTAAGTAGTTATTTTAAAAATATGGTGAAAAGAATCAAAAACAGGTGTTGGAAATAAAAAAGGGGGAAATCGCCAAAGTCGCCAAAGTGCAGCGCGGTACGTCTCTGGAAAGAGATAACTTATCAATGCTGTTATACAGAATGGCGCTGACTTGAATTATATACTTTTGGCCGTAGGCTACTTGTAGGAAGTTCCCTTATAAAGTGCATGCGCGCTCTAAACTAAAATTTTTGATGCTATGGATAGCGAAGGCTGACCCATATCTGCAAAGGACCGCAAACAAATATGCCGCTGATCGTAAGAACTAAAGAAGACCTGATCAGGAAAAAAAAATACCAAGTAACACATGCACTGAAATCTGCAAAGATGACCGTTCTACATGAACCTATTTATGAACATTAACTTTGCAAGAAATCAACACGACACCGATAGAACCAAACTGGAAGCACAATTCTACTAAGTGTTCAATTCCAGTGAAAATGTCGGTGTTCGATTCCAGTTCTGCAAAAAAGCCAAAATCGTAAATTTCGTAAAAGTAAATTTCGGTACTCTAACTTATGATTTGATCAAGTCACATTCATTTGAATTGAATTATTCATTGGCGCCTTTTGGAGCATTAGGATTCTTTTTCTCCCCATTAAAACAATCTGTAAATGAAAGACAAGGTGTTCTATTAATTGTTCATCCCAAGGTGCTGTCGTTTCTTGTGATCTCGTCTCCAAAAAAGGTGAAGCTTGTTTCTTCATTTAATTTCCCATTTTTATTATAAAATCTCTTGGGGAGAGGGTAGGAATTCATTTTTATTTACCTCTACTCGGAGAGTCCGCACGGACGTACGTACGGTGACGTCATAACCAAATTTTATCGGATGGATAGTTACCAAATTAAATTCATTAAATGAGTTGCCTTATTC